GAGAGGCTTTAATCTACTACTACTCAGAAAACAAAACTGGAGTTTTTTACTTATAGTTATCTGAAAATACAATTTTTTTCATTATTATTATTGTTCGTCCTTTTCATTGTAGCAAACCTAAAAAATTGAGAAACGTGTGTTGGAAAACCAGCTATTACACAAATGCATATATGATTCAAAATCTGAGAACATTCTGCCATTTAATAATCTGGTCTCCTGAAGGTTTTGATATATTTTCAACTAGATATTTAGGAGACTAGAATGTGAACTGGGAAATATGTGTGCTTCATACGGGGCATCTGCTATTCCCTGATGTCAGGGATGTGATGCTGAAGCTAGCTGGACTTGACCTGATCTAGTATGGCTATTTTAATGTTAAAATGAATATACAGTGGCTAGTTGTTTTCTTGACATGAGAACTAAGGATTGCCAAGTGAAGTTGAGGTGAGGTGATTCTGGCATTCATTACCAGAGGATGTTGTGTAGGTCAAAAGTATGTGGTCAGAAAGCACCTAGGTACATTCAGGAAGGCCTTGAGGCAGGCTACTAAGGATATTGATGCAAGTAGATGCAGTCCAGAAGCTTCTTAAGCTGATTCTTGACTTAATTATAATTGAGGTCAATGAGACCATCTTGGGGAATGATCTCTTTATAAAAGCCCTTAAAAACAGAGATGCAGGTTAACTGTCAGAATTGAGGTGCTTGGCTAGAAAAAAGTGTAGCATTTCTTACAGAGGGTGGATGAGATAATGACTCTTGGCTAAATACACACTACTTGTTTGTTTGACTAGATATGTTTGGCAGGCTTACAATTGTGTTGCTTTTTGAACTAATACTGATAATTTACAGCTTTTAACTTGTTAAACACGGGGGTTGTTTACTTGTCCTTTAAAATGACTGAGATACTGGTGTCCAGCATGAAGTTCTCTTGGTTGCCTTTCTGCCAGTGGTATTGTCTCTGCTAAATTATGTTAAAATGTTTGGAGTTAAAGTGTACCACCATAATATGCTTTTCTGGAACATGGACGATGTTCGTAATTTGCAAAAGAGGTAATGATTTAACAGTATAAGATTTTATTGGAGATAGTCACTTGTAGCTCAAAATGACCTCAGTTCTTGTCTTCCTGTTAAGAAGTGTCAAGTGCATGTAAATACTGCTTTAAACTTCTAAAAATGCAAAACTTTTGAGCTTTGTTAAATATCACAAATCAAAAGGGACACTGTTTAGAGGGTGGGTAATAATTTTCAAGACTTCCTTTTGATAAAAGGAAATGCACATTGGACTAAAAGTCTCTGTAGTATTCAGTTTTAGATGTTAGGAAACTACATTAACAGTTCTAAACACTTTGTCTTGGATTTCTTGAATCACTATTCTGGAAACTATATTAAAGAACATTCAAAGTTGTACCTGCATATGAGAAGTGAAGCAAGCTGCCATCTTGAATAGAGAGGGAATTTAAGTTGCTTGAAACATACAGGAAGATGTCTTAAAGATGTATTTTAAAGCTTCCTTTAAGCTAGTTCAGATTTATGATTTTTTTTTTAATAGGAGTGAAACTCGGGTGTGGCAAAAGTAGTCTTGCCACATGTGTTTGTCATAGTGCTCTGAATCATGCAAGGTGACTTCAGCGTGATTTTCACAACAGAACATTTGACTGCCTCTGGGATGGTGGGGCTACAAGTCATTACCAGGAAAAAGTTGGTGATGTTGGATTATACTTTCATCCTGGTGTCCAAACAAATCTTTACTTAGTGTAGTTCATTTTACTTAGCATTCTGTGTCCAAAAAATTGATCAGAGTTAACAATAGCTCTTGTAAATTATAAGAAAGGCAAGTTCCGTGAAGAACTTCTGATCAGTGTATAGGCCTTTTTACTGATGGTTTATTACTTGGAATTTATTCTGTTGTTAGGACTGCATTCTTTCTTCCTGCTATTTGTTTGCTGTATGGGTTTTTTTTCAGAGTTATCATAACTCTGGTGTGATTTGCATGCTTTTGATGTGAGAAGGAAGATTATCATAGTCAGCCTTCCTCCTTCCTCCAGTTGCTTGCAAAAGTGCTTGGTTCATTGTGCGTTTTAGTGGGTTTTGGGACCTTCTTGTTAGAATTAGATGATTTAGCCTCTTCAGTAGTTAAATTAGATGGAAATAGAAATACATAGAGTCTAAATATTTTGCTTTTCAGTTTCATGCAGAAAATTTCCTCACACTTCAAACCTTATAAGACTGGAAAAAAGTGTTTTGTCTTAAACCACGTGCTTCTTAGTTGTCTTGAAGCGTGTGGAATAATGTGCGAGATTAGAGCTGTACTCCATGGACTGAAATTTAATACTTGATGTACTTAAAACTGCTACAAGGCCAACAAGATACTTAATGAATTGTTGCATGTGGAAAAAGCTTTCACTGTGCTCTGATCTTCTTGCAGCTATGAACAGATCACTTGGGGACAGTGACTGTCAGGAAGGGCTTGAACTCTTTATCTTTGCATTAGCAACATTTTATTCACTTGCAGAATAAAATGCAGATTCTGTAGTATAAAGTTTCTGATGTTTAAAGCTTGAGTTTGCTCTCAAACACGACAGGATCTAATGAGCATCAGAAGTGAGAGCACATAGCTAGGGCAGGGAGAGGGTAGGAGTTCAGCATCCTGCAGTTACTTTTAGCTAGACTGATTTTGAACCACAAATTTAGGCATGCTTTGAGTTACGCTGTTTAGTCTGTCAGTAAGGAAAAGCCCGAGTGTGTTCGAATAGAGTTTAATGTCACCCTACAAAAAAGTATCAGCTGGAGACTAGAACAATAAATTGTGACTGTGGATAGTAAGCTGAAGCATCTGTAAAAGTGGTAATACAGAAAAATAAAAATAGACTATTAAATGCAAAATGATGATACCTTTAATATATTTGCCTGGCTCTTTAATACTGCGTTTGGTAGCTGGACAACATGAGGCAATTGTTACACATGCTGTGGCCATCTTATCAAAGTAAGCCTAAAAAGTAAACAGTCTTCACTTAAAATGTAGATAACTTTCAGTGTGTGTGAGGAAAGCCTTGTCATAGCTGAGATTCTTTGGAACTTGGAGTATTTATTTATAATGTTTGCTTATGTATTCTTGTATGGCATTTGGTCTTTTTAAAAATCCCTTCTTCCTGGAAGTTCTGCTCTTGCATCTCTGCAGCTGCTTTTTCCAGATCTTTGGTACCCATCCTTGAGGCTGCTTTGCCCACAAACTATGCTGTACACTAACTGGGACTGTTTGGCTTCATATGCCGTGGGGACCGGGTGTCACCAGCCTTGTCCCCCACAGTTGGCAGAGCCCCAAACTTGCACTGGGGTGACTGCAGGGAGCAAGGCAGTATTGCACTGCTCCTTCCGACAATTAACTTTGTGTCTTTCTGACCATTTCGCAGCTCTGGGATGTGATGCCTTGTCCCTGTGGTAAAGTGTCACTCTTTTCTGTGCTGGCTTGAAGCTTTATATTTGCACATTCACTTCAGATGTTTACAATATTTGAGACCAAACTAACTGAAAGTATGTTGTTTTTTTTTGTTTTGTTTTGTTTTTTTTACTGTTTATGTAGTAAACATGCTTTCTAGGAATTAGTACCTAATTCTTTGCTCAGTTTTTTGGGGAGAAGAGCAAAGGACTTGGGTAAAATAGTTAATTACAGACAGTTACTAAGTTTGAATTGAAATGATTAATTCAAATATGTTTTGAAAATATTGCACAAATGGCTGTGAGATTGTGAAGTATTTTGGAGATGGTATAAAATGGTACTTATCGTAGTACCTTTCGCATGTGAGGAAACTGCTTGTAATGTGGTGGTAGCCCTTGACTGGTCTCAGATGTATGGTGAGGTATATTGGCAACACTTCTGTAGTGTGCAGAGAACAAACCTATGCTGTGTCTTGATTTAGTAGAACCATTGCCTCTAGCACAACAAACTATTAAGAAACTGCACTTCTGTTAGCATAAATGCAGCATGCTAGCATTTCTACTGCAGCAGCAGTGAGGAATTGCACTTTTTTTACATAGTTATGTGACAGATAACCTGATAATGTGAACTGAGCCTTACATTTATGTAGTGCTTGACTTGATGCTCCAAAGACATGCTGACAGATATTCTAATGTTCTCTTATAAGTGAATGAAGATGCACGTTGAGCTATGTGGTAACTTCTCCTCATATTTTGAAGTGGCACTAATAAATATGGTCTAAGCTTTACTTTTACAAATAATGGTGTGATCTGCATTAGGGCATCAAATTAATGGTTTCTAGCACAAATACATTTGTTAATTCAATATTTTATCCCCCTTATTGTAGGGCATGTGCTGCTTTCTACTTTATCACTAAAATGTTATACTCACTTTGTGGTTAAGGTGCTAGTTCCAAATGTCACACTCTAACAAATGAGGTCTGTGAGTGTTGTTATGGTACCATCCCAAGCTTGTCTGCGTGACAGATTTGGGTTCCTCCTAAGGTGTTAGACTGATCTGGAGCAGCTGAAGTGTAAACATATGCTCTGATTTGCTTGCTCTGATGCCAGCAAGGTAAGTGCTGGTGGAGCTGGTAGAAACTAGCTACCACGTTGTACCATTTTCCCTCAGCTGTGTGGTGAGCATGTGTCAAACTTACTGTGGCGGAGAAAACTGCTAGACCTATCATTGGAGGAAGTAAGTATTTATTTGAAAAGAGCTTTAAAGTACAGCCCTAAGAAGCAGACATGGTTTTTGGTGAAGCTGCAACTGTGTGAACTTGGTAGTTTCTGGGTGTGTCAATAAACTTCAATCAGCAACGTATGGGATAAAGTTGTACCTAGTGTACCCCTCGTCACAAGCTGCTTGGTGTTCTACGATAACCCTGAACTTCATATAGGACCACAGTGGTCATGCTGGAATATATGTGTTTTGGGGTTTTTTTCCCCAACAGTGATGAATTGAAAATACTGATGTAAAGCAATGGGTACCCAAATATAAGTTAATTAGTTTCACTGTTTTACAGATGGAGTCGAGGATTCGGTCTGTTGGGTTCCATCTTTGGAAAGGACAGTGCAGTAAATCAGTCAAACAGTGTTTTTGGACTCGTGTTTTATATACTACAAATGCTACTTGGTAAGTATTAATTCAGTTTAAAGCCTAAAGTATATAACAAGTCTGTGGTGATAAGAGGAGTGAGTTACACATTGAGCAATCTGCAAGAAACCAGATAAATGCATGTGATTTTTATCCTTTTTTTTATGCACCAGTGAAATGATACATCTGTCCAAAGGGCTTAAAACCCCAACTGATAACAAGAGCAATTGCATTTTCTCCTGCTATGCTATTAATACAATAAGCATCAAGACAGTTGCTGCACTGATATTTTCACTTAAATATATTTAGCATTGGATTGCACAATAGAAAAGAGAGGAAATAAAAATGGAATTTACAAGTTTTGCAGGAGTAATAGAGATAGCTAGCAAAAAGAGTGCATGAACTGTGATGTGTATATATTTATTTGTAACTATGGTCTGCTTTAAAGCTATTAATATTGATAGACATAACTTGACCAACCTGTAACTTTCCCATAACTCAGGAATACGGAAGATGGTAAATACTACACATACTTCTTATCAAAGGACTGTCGTACAGAACCTAGAAGCTCCCCTCCAAATAGCGATTTGTCAGCCATCTTGAACTCATGGTATTTTAAACAGACTTTTATGTAATAATACAAACTTGCTGAGTAGCCTTCAGTTTGAATTAGAGTGCTTAGGCTTTTTGCTTTGTGTGGAAGGGGGGAATGAGAGCAGCAGTAGTAACTTTCTCTCTTTTGTTGCAGGTATGACAGCAAGTGCAGTAGCAGCTCTAATCCTCATGACATCCTCCATAGTGTCTGTAGTAGGGTCATTGTACTTGGCATACATTCTGTACTTCGTGCTGAAGGAATTTTGCATTGTCTGCGTCATCACATATTTGCTGAACTTCATTCTCTTTATCATCAACTACAAACGACTAGTTTATTTGAACGAGGCCTGGAAACGGCAACTCCAACCCAAACAGGAATAATGCCTGTTTGAACTTTTGACTGACAGTCTGAAGACCCAACTTCCATTAAGTTTATTTTGCAGTAATTTTTTTATTCTCCATATCAGACACTTTCCCCAAGAATCATAACTGAATTTTTAATTATAAATTTGAAGGGGCCCTAGATAATTTTTTTTGGTGCAAATCTTCAATTTGTATGTGGTAATGAAAGAAAGCTCTAATACAATCAAAGACAAGCTTTAACTTTACTTTGAAGGATTCTTAGCCACAGCAAAATTTAGACTCTGTCTCTTCCCCCTCCGCTTGTGAAGTGGGTAACACTTGCTATAAAGTGTCCTGTATATAAATTCAGGTATAACAAGATGTGGTCATGACATTAAATATTCTAGACTAGCATTACCATATTTAATGTTGCCATGTTTACAGTATGTATATTACTTTTTTTTTTTAGCTGATGGAGTTAGATTTGACTAGGACTTATACTGTAAATAAAATTAGAAATATTGGTTTCATCCCTGGAGAACTCACTGTACAACCAGTTTTCTTAGCCTAGGAGCTGTCAGAGTGTTCAGCTAATAGTCAACTGACATGATGGAAGAAGTGACCTCTATAGAGAACACCGTGTTGCTGCACTCACTGCTAGTGCTTTCACAAGAATGATAGTTGGGTTTTGTTCCATTTTTACTTTTTTTTTTTTTATCTCCAGTAATGAAAGTGGAATTAAAGCTGAAACCTGAAGTATATTCATTAAATCACAACTTCATTAATTTCTGTGCAGAATGAAAATAGCCTAATGTGGTCGATAGAAAGCTGCCACCAGGATATTGTATGAAGATTGGGGGTTGGTGTATCAGAGTGTTCTTTGAAAGGACTTAATTTCCATGCAGAGCTGTTTTATTTGTAAACTGTGGTCAGACAGCTAGTATTACTAATGTTTGATGTTATATGAATGCTGCAGTATAGAATTGAAATTTGCAGTGAAAACCACTGACTGAGTGGGGTAATCAAGTAGTGCACTGAAGAAACAGATAATTGATCTTCATCAGGGTCTTTGGTTTGTTCTATATTGGGAAATGAACTTTAGGCCTGACACACATAAGATCCCTTGGAAGGGCAACATGTTTAGTGATATAAGTAAGTAAATGTGCTCCTGAAAATGAAATAGGATATTGTGCTATCATTGCTCTTTCTAATAACTAATTGGAAAAAAAAATAAACTGCAGTTTTAAACATAGGAACAAAATTGTAAATGTTGTTTCTGCACTCAGTATTCTAAGGCTGAATGTTAAAAGTGCCTTCTGTCTTAAACCAAATACTTTGTGTTGATCTTGGCAGGCAGAAGTGTCCTTGCTTTAAAAATGAACAAACAAAAATCCCAGCAAACTTGTTGGAGATAGGGAAGTATTAAGAGATCTATTTTAGTTTTTAGACTGAGAAGTGGTAGCAATATTGTTTCAGTTAAATTGATGTGATGGAAGGTTGATGATGTGGTTCAGGAAAGTAGAATACTTGTGTTTCAGACTCTGTGATACCAAAATGTATAGGTTCAGCTACTTTCTGTAATTGGTGCTGTGTTGCTTTTTGCCCTTGTCAGCTTCTAAAGGTGAAAAATTACACCTGTGTACCCATTAATGGTACTTATGCTCTGGGGCCCCCAACATAAGAAGGACATAGACCTGCTTGAGTGGGTCCAGAGGCCACAAAGATGCTCAGGGGCCTGGAGCAGCTCCCCTGGGAGGCCAGGCTGAGAGAGTTAGGGGTGTTCAGCCTGGAGAAGAGAAGGCTCCGGGGAGACCTTCGAGCGGCCTCCCAGGGCTTAAAGGGGGGACAGGAGAGGTGGGGAGAGACTCTGTCAGGGAGTGTAGGGATAGGACAAGGGGTAATGGTTTTAAACTGAGAGGGTAGATTTAGATTAGATATAAAGAAGAAATTCTTCACTGTGAGGGTAGTGAGACACTGGACCAGGTTGCCCCGAGAAGCTGTGGCTGCCCCTTCCCTGGAAAGGTTCAAGGCCAAGTTGGATGGGGCTTGGAGAAACCTGGTCTAGTGGAAGGTGTCCCTGCCTGTGGCAGGGGGGTTGGAACTGGATGATCTTTGAGGTCCCTTCCAACCCAACCCATTCAATGATTCTGTGATTCATTTATTTAAGGAATTAGTTTAACTAATTTTAGGATTTTTTTTTCTTAAACATGAATGTCAGAGAGACACTTGTGTTGTATGGCTAAGTGGATTATAAACACTAAGTTACGGAGGATAAAATTGACTGTGAAACATGCAGTGTTCCGTAGAGAAAATTTTTAGATTGAATTCACAAAATATTATTTAAGTTACTGAAGTAATTTTCTGGTTTGTATCAAGGATGTAGGTGGAAACTGCTTTTATGTATAGAGTTATGTGGTATGAGTAACATCTGTTGCATGTAACACTAAATTACTTGTCCCTCTTGTCTAATGGTTTTAGACAATTCATTAAATTCATTTTGTATTGACCAGAGTATAGTTAAAGCTTGTCTTGATGTTTAGTTCTGTCTCTCAAATGCCTTGAACTTTGATATGAGGGGGGTGAATGATGTAAACTGGTCCCTCAAGGTTTTGCTTTGTTCTCTTATAAGCCTTGAGGCAACATCGCTGTTTAATATGTTGTATAGATTTATTTTGATGCATTCCTGTGATCTACACTAAGGCATCTTTTTCATCCAAGGAAGTGGTGAACACATGCTGCCTGAAATGGTTAGTCACAGTGCTAATATCTCAGAACAAGCAGCAATGGAGACAAGTATAATCAATGATTACTTGGTCCAATTTCTGGGTGTAGTACACACCAAAAAGGAAAAAAAAAAAAAAAAAATAGGAAAAAGGCCCCATCAGCTGAAAGTATAGGTGTTGACTAACTTCACTGTGTCTTGTGCTTGTCTGTGTGGGCATAGTCTGTTAATTCAGTTTGTTTAGTACAATTGTTTAGGGCCAGATTTTCAGCAGTTGTCTGCAGTCCTTGTTTGTGTGCACATAGAGATCAAATGGAAATTGAGTTTGATCTCTGGAAGAATTTGCAGCTACACTTTGTGCACAAACTTGCAAATCTGATCCTTAATTGTGAACTCTCTTGTCTTGTGTGCTTTTCTTGCAGTTACTTTTTACTGGAAGTGATTTGCTAGAAATGGCCCTAACTCTTCTGATTTCTCTCTTGTACTTCGGAAATGCAGTTGGCCTGAATAAAGGGCAAAATAATATTAGAAGTAGAAATTTGGACCTTTTTGCTCCCAGCTCTTTGAGTCTTTCCTCATTGATCCCAATGATAGAGACAGCATATTTCTTCCAGTAAAATGGCTCAGGTTACAATTAGTAATGCAATGGAAATGAGAGGAGTGCTTCATGCAACTGCCCCTCTGCCTCCCCCCAGCCAAAACAAATGTCATGTAAAATACATAGTTTATACTAATTTGACCCTTACAAATCTGAAGGCAAATTCTGAGAAATCTTGAGGATACAAGAATATGGGTAGAAGCTAATAAATAATACCTGGTCTGGCAGAGGGACAGGGGGGCATTACACAGATGCTGGTTGTGGTTTCAACACTCATGAGAACAGAAATACTAACAGTGATTCTGAATTTGGGCTCTTCTTCCCCCTCCTTGGCTCTCAGAAATTCTGCCAGGAGGGCACAATGGGAAAGGCAAAAAATCCTCATTCAAAACCTACTTAGGAATTAAACATTCCTGAAATCATCTTACTGTAAGGTACTTGCTACTCTTAAGGCCAACGAAGAATTCAAGTCTTGTTTAGGAAATGAATGTTCTTGGAAGTCTCTTACTGTAAAGTGTTTGCAACGCTACGGCCAATGAAACATTCCCTACCACCTTTGATATCTAAAGTGACAACAAATCTGTCTTACTAGGACATTTGTGCATAGTTGCGTTGGGTTTGTGTGGTGGCATTTTGGTAGTGGGGAAGTGGGCTACAGGGGTGGCCCTTGTGAGAAACTTCTCGAAGCTCCCCCGGCTCCAAGTCGGACCTGCCTCTGGCCAAGGCTGTGCCAACTGGCAGTGGTGGCTGCGCCTCTGGAATAATGTATTTAAGAAGGGGAACTTGCAGAACTGATTATTCCACTAACATTTTTCAGTCCATGTTTTGCCCCTTGCGTCTCCCAGTTATTAGACTTACCTGAACTTCCTCAGGCCCCATGTTGGGCACCAAAAAGGACCGTTGTGGTTTAGGCCTAGGGAGCAACAAAATGCCATGTGGCTGCTCACTCACTCCTCTCCTCCCTGGCAGGATGGGGAGGAGGAAATATAACAAAAGGCTCAGGGGTCAAGACAAGGACAGGGAGAGATCACTCACCAGTTGTGGTGATGGGCAAAAGATAGACTCGATTTGAGAAAAAAAAAAAAAAAAAATCAATTTAGTTTGAACACCACCACCACTACTAATTTACCAATCTGTGTAGGATAGTGAGAAATACAACCACATCTTAAGAACACCTTCCTCCTACCCTTCCCTTCTTGAGCTCATCTTTGCTCCCAGTTTCTCTACCTCCTCCCTGAATAGGGTTGCAATCATTTTGTCACCTGTGTTCCTTCTTCCTCCATGGGAGGATTCCTCACCATCTTCGCCTGCTCTGCAGTGGGGTCCCTCCCACAAGAGACAGTTCTCCAAGAACTTCTCTGACCTGAGTCCTTCCTGGAGGGCTGCAGCTCTTTATGAACTGCTCCAGCGTGGGTCCCTGCTGTGGGCTGCAGTCCTCCCAGCAACAGACTGCTCCAGCACACACTGCCTTCAGAGTCCCGGCCTCCTTTGGGCATCCACCTACTCTGGTGTGGTGTCCTCCACAGGCTGCCCGTCGGCATCTGTTCCACCAGTGACATCCATGAGCTGCATGGGGGTGGCCCTGCTGTCAGCACAGGCTGCAGGGGGGGTGTTTCTGCTCCAGCACACCTCCCCTGCTCCTCCACTGACCTCAGTGTCTGCAGATGTGTTTCCCTCACCCCTACCTCCCTCTCCACTACATGTTCCCTTTCTTAAATACATTCTCCCAGAGGCGCAGCCACCATCGCTAACTGGCTCAGCCTTGGCCAGTGACAGGTCTGACTTGGAGCCAGGGGAGCTTTGAGAAGGTTCGTGCAGGGGCCACCACTGTAGCCACCTCCCCTGCTGCCAAAACCCCACCACACAAACCCAGCACTGTACTGTAGCACACATTTGTCTTCTGCTGTACAGAGTCTTGATTGTTCAAAATGGGTGAGGTGCTTCAGGCAGCAGTCGATGCTCCTAATTTATATGGGCTAAAGTCAGATCTAATAGCTTTGGTTCTGCCAATGTTGTTTAAACGTGATCTAGACAAAATTCGTCCAGAAAAGATGAAGTATTCTGTTACCATAAAACTGTATTAAGCATGGCCTAAATATTAGGTGTTTGTTCTGTATAGTATGTTCCATCAACTATTTATTACTAGTGCTTTAAACTTCAAATTAAACATCCATTTAATTGGAGTCACTGGGCAGATGTTCCTTTTATCAGTATAGGTTGAGAAATTCTCTATTGGAGGTTTAGGATACAATTTTGCTAACAGGTAAAACAATGTAAATATGTACGAATTCTATTTGTTGCACATAACTTTTTGGTATAAAAAAAAATAAATGTAGAAATTACCTGTGGATGTCTTGCTGCAATCATTCTTGTGCTGCATTCGTGCAGTCCAAACATAAGAGCTTGAATGAACCCAATCAGAGGCCTTTTTGGACTTGATCTGAGCCTTAGAAACTGTTTTTAAAGTCAGTACTGTAATGCTGTTTCTAGAAATGTATCAAGTTGTGATTTTTTTTTTTGTTTGTTTTTTTTTCAAATACATTGTGTGTTAGTGAAGGGTTAAAGCACTTGATTCCCCAGAGATACCAGTTCGTAGAATTTCTGCAGCTTCACGGTGTCTTGCTGAATGTTGTGTGCACATGGGTGTGTAAAGGTTGAGCTGCATTGACTTGAGGCTTTAACTGTTTACAGGTCTTTAAGCAACATGCAAAAAAACCCCGTTAAATATGTTATTTTTATCACTTCCTGCTTTCTTTGGTTCTGTAGGTCTGCTTTAACTCCAACAAGATCACAGAGTATCTGGAATCTGCTGTATGTTTTCCTGGATTTGGGGGGTGGGGGAGGGAGGGAGCTTTTGAGAGGGGTTGGATAGGCAGCTTGGGTTTCCAATTGCACTGAGCTGTTAAGTACAAGCAGGAACTAAGACTCTGAAATGTGTGCTTATCATACGTGTGGATATTAAACTTTGCATCTGTTTTGTTGGATTGAATTGAAGTAACAGCTTTCTCTTCTGCAACCGCAAGCCCTGTGTATTATCATAGGGGTCTGAGCCCTAGTTTGTAATGAGTTAACAATGTCAAATCTTTATCTGTATTTGATGTGGCAGCTGTTGGTATGTCAAGTCTGTTGAAATGGGGAAGAAAATGATTCTTAAAAAAACCTTATGTCTAGAGATCGAGAAGTTTAAATTACTTTTGAACGCTGATAGTGAGCTTAAATATGGCATTCACTCTTCTGATGTGGTACATTTGAGCAAGTGTCTTTTTACTGTGGATAGACTTTTATATTCCAGGGCTTTAGTTACATAGAAAAACTGTAGACCTAACACAGTATAAGGAATGCTGATAGTACATTTCTTCTTTTCCCCTAAAAAGTCAAAAATTATTTTTAAGTCTGCAGTAAACATATATGTCCTTATTCTGCATGTGTCAGTA